TATTCCCAAGCACAGCGATAGTGACATGTGTACTAAGCAATAATTCTTTTTGCATCTTTAATATTTTTTATATTTTTCTTCTTAAATTGCTATGAAGATTAAGAAGATTCATCACATAAATACTGGATTAAAAGCAAAGCTAATTTTGTGCTGAGCTACCTACATTGGTGGATCAAAAACCTGCCAAAACAATACTGGTCAGTTGCAAAGCATTCTAAATAGTAAATTCTCTTCACGGACGTTTGTAGTATAAGAAACCTCTTTTTTTTTTTAACCTATTTATGCCAGTTTATAAACAATCTGGTGTAAGTTTGAAACCAGCTCACACCAGGTAGACCCAAATGCAGAACTAATAAACACAACTGACAACAATAAGACCAGCCTGAACAGTTATACCAGCAGGACCAGTTAGTGATTTGGTTAACTGAACTGTGTTAGGCAACATGACAAATCACACTGGAACCAGGGGGGGAAAAAAACCCAAAAAACCAAAAAACCAAAACCAAAACCAACCAACCAACCAAACAAAAAAAACCACCAAAAAACCACAGCCAGAGCACCTCTTGACTTCAGCAGCAATTCTGTTTAAATCAATTGACCAGTTTGGGAACTGTGTGCCTGTCTCCTCCAGGTTCCTCCGGGAATTTCAGACACATATCCCAAAGGCAGCTGGACTTACTTTTAGAGCAAGAGGGATAAAATTAATCTGAGACCTGAGATATCAAGAGCATGCTTATCTCTTTACTTAAGCCTGCTTTTCAACCTGCCTCTGCCCTCTCTCTGTCTTCCTCCCGCTCTTTCTCAGAAAGTAAAAGCCAGGTAGGGGCCAGTTCAGCAATTCCCTTGTGCAAGGCTTGGCAGGTCTGTCCTATACCAGTGCCAAACACCAAAGCCTGATACTGGATATTCTGATTCTGAGAAAAAGAATGAGCATCCAGTGTCAGCTGCCAGCACTAACATATCTGTTCAGCGCAAATGATTAATACAGTGGTTGAAAATGAGTCACTAGGATCTGGAGTTGATCAACCCTCCTGCTAATTTAAATGGTAGTTAATTAGATATGTCATATCAGCAGGATAGGACTGCTCTCCTGGAAAGCCTTCCCACTACATAGTACAATTCTCAAAGCACACATTGAGAGCGGAAGCTGAGTTGAGACTATACAGCAAAAGATTTGTGTCCCACTCTCAGTTAGGAACAAAGACAACCAAAATCCTGATGGAAATATGGACACAAGGAACATGAGCCTACAGCTTTAATTTCCCATCGGTGAACACTTGCTATATATTATTTAAAACATTTCTGGAGGAAGGAATTCAAACACACTCGACAAATGAAACACTTTGCACTCATCAAATGGAGCCAAGAAGGGCACAGTACACCAATTTTTATGCCATGGCCATCTCTCATGGCCAAGTATCATGGCCATGTATCTGTCACAATTGGAAGGACAAAAAGCTCACAGGTTCAGACAAGAGCGTGGCAATTCATTTCAGTGGAGAAAGCGTTCTCCCTAGATCTATAATTTCAACCAATCTCTTTCCTGCTTTTATTGAAACCCATTGTGTTAATTTGAGCGTATTTCCAACTCAATCTGGATTTATTCGTATACTCAAAAATTCTTTCTTCCTCTTTCTTTTCTCTCTTTCCTCTTTCTTTTCTTTTTCTCTTTCTTTCTCTTTCCCTTCCTTCCTCCCTCCCCTTCCTTCCTTCCCCTTTCCGTCTTTAATTTCCTTTCTCCCTTTCCATTTTTAATTTCCTTTCTCTCTCCCCTTTCACCCTTTTACCCAAACTGATTTTATTCACTCGTTTTATCCAAAAACCCACCGCCATGCGCTTATATAGCAGCTCAGGGACTAACAGACGGTTTTCCACGCCAGATCTCTAACTTACTAATAATAAAGTTTTCTGATTTCCCCCCCCTCCCCCCCCGGACTTTCCCCGCTCCTTTCCACCACGACCATTCAGGAATGGTTTGTGTACTTCCTTCCCTTCCAGGGGCAACGTCACAGCCGGTGCTGCCCGCGGGCCGCCCGCCCGCCCGGGCGTTCCGGCGGAGCCCGCGGGCAGGAGGTGGGTGAGTCCCGCCCGGGCACGGGCTGAGCCCAGGCCCCGGCAGCGTTCGCCGGGAACACCCAAGTCCCGACGGCGGGCCCGGGACGCGATTCCCCGGGATGAGGTTTCCCCGGGAGGACTCCTCTGTGCTGATGGGCTCTGGATCCTTCTCTCTGCCGGGGGTATTTGCTGGTTTGGAAGTATCAGCATCAGCAGCCAGGGGTTGTCGTTACGGGAGGTGATGGGGAAGCTTCTGGATACACTCTGTGCCAGCCTGGGCTCGACCCCGGTACTTGCATCATTTAGCTGGAAACTTTCCAAATAGAGATGTTGAAAAATTATTATCGTTGTTGTTATTATTATTAATTTACTGTATATATGAGATATACTATATATGTTATATGTACCAAATATATACACTAAATACATAATGTATAGTATTAAGGTCTATAGTAATGGTATATATTATAGTATACATAGTATATAGTAATATATGCTTTATATTATAGTGTATATAGTATATAGTAATATATACTTTATATTATAGTATAATAGATATAGTATAATTATATATTATACATATTACCTTATATGTAGTATATCATATACATTATTGTATGTAATATATAATATGTATTTTATATGTTACACAGTATATTATCCTGTATTATGTATTATAATATACTAAAGTGTTATCTAATATTAATATAATTAATGCAATAGCTTTAATAGATATGCTACAATGTACTAATAATGTATTGATAGCATCATAATTGTTCTATTGATGCTATTAATATATATTAAGACAATAAAAATGTTATTCATATGATGTAATATAATACATAATATAGTATGTTGAAATAGTATATAGTTATATACTATATTAAATAGTTGTATATAATATAAAACATGTGATTTATATATTATATGCATTATACTATTCCTACTATTGTCTTTGAAACTCTATGATAACTTCACGTTATGATAGCAATTTGTTCTTTATGCAAGTTCTGTCTAGTCTTCAGAAAAGGCCATTACAGCAACCTACTGGATGTTATTAACTTGTCTGAAACTGGGAGTATGTCCTTGAACCAGAGTCTGTGATGGATACCGCTAGAGGGATCACTGAACAAAATGTGCTGCACCTTGGAATGGAATGACATGTTTATCCTTTCTGGGGTGGAATGCAATGTGCTTGTGGCATTTACCCCAGGCTACTGTACTTTGGAGGAAAGAATGCATGGAAACATGCACTGCCGGCTATATAACACCACTTCACAGGAACAAGTGGTATTACTGATGATTTTGAATTTTGAGTTGATGTAAGAACCTGATTCTCCCTGAGAGACCTTTAGAGTTATAGGCATGTGCAAAAAGATCTTTTTGTATTTTGCAAGCCTCCTCTGAAAGATTACTGGGGTAAAAGCCTTGTGAGGATCTCCAGAGCTGCAGGATTTGGTGTCTCCATCCACATGTGCTTCTCGGTCTGTTGTTGTAGCACCTTATTTTCTTGTTCAGCATTTTCTTGTTTCGCTGGTAGGTAATCAAAAGCAGGCTGCCAGGAAGTTTGTTTTCTTTGATGGCCATAGCTGGTTTTGAGTGAGGGATGACAGGAGACAGGTATTTTAAACTACCACTGGCGCAGGCCATCAGCATGCATTCTGATATTTGCCCCCACTTACTTTCCCCATTCTCTTTCAGTTCTAAATCCTTCCTCATATTATTAAAAGGTACATACTTGGAGAAAAAAATCACCCACGCTTGTCTTTCCTTGATTGATGCTAAGATAAAGTTTACACAGATAACTATCTCATCTAAATAATGGCTAGCTTTAATGTCACATTTTATTTTTCCAACAGATGAGGATTTATTGGTTCATGGAAATTCTGTTAACAGGAAATGAGTCCAATTTGGCTTTGCAAAGTAGAGCATAGGCCAAGTCCAGACTCCATCATTTATTAAATCATTCTGTATCATTGTAGTATAGGGAAAGGTAAGTTCTCAAATTTGCAAGCATACTTCTTTGATTTTTTTTTTCTGCAAACAGGTCTTTATGGTCACATGGAGGGAGTCTAAAGAGAGATCCAGAATAATCATGTGGCAGATTTCGTGCAGTAGGTTTGCCTGATGAATGAGTGGAGATTTGCTTTTACCAGCTCCTGACCAATAGCAATGCCACAAGTATAGGGTTAAACCATTCACAATATTAAAAACTGTCAGTGTTTGTGCAAAACCACTGATAGTTGGCTTTATCCATGACATTTTAGCTAAATTCAGTAAAAGAAGATTAGTAAATTCTGCTGAAAAAAATTTCTATGGGGGCAGAACTTTAGTCCAGGTTAAATGCGGCAGGGCTGACTCCTTGCCACCCTAACGATGCTGCCAGGGAAGTCAGGCTGCATTATCTGCACTGTGGGGAACATGAAGCCATCTGACAGTGTCTCACCTTCCCTCAAGGTGAGCTGTTTCAGGGTGCTTTATGCTGGTGGAAGATCAGAGCATGGCTGGGGCCTGGATGAAGATGCGTCAATTTTACAAATCAGGATTAGTCCTTCAAGCCATTTGGAACTGGCATTTCATTATGGCCTTGGTATCATTCTATTTAGGTGAATAAACAGACAAACAGGACTCTATTTTCCTTAGGTTATTTATAAAAACATTCAGCCAGTCTTATGCTAACCCTGGAAACAGCACATTCTTCCTTCACTGGTAGTACTGGTCAATGAAGATTTGCTGCTGAATTCCAAAGGTAGTTTGCTTATAATTATATAAAATTGGTAAGAAAGTAAGGCACTGCTAGCTGATTTCTTTCTATGAGATCTTGAAGCTTAGGTACTGATGCTGTTTTATGTGTTCCCCTCTAGCTAATGTTTTGGTAGGAGTTGTCCCCTGGACTCCAGTTTACCAGAGCATGGAGGTATCAAAAAGGAGGTATATAGGACTGAACCAGAGCCATTTTATACACATATGTGTGTGTTAGGGAGAATGTGATACATGGAAATCTCAGATTTATTCATTCTGCTGTCCACAAAACAATTTGAGACCACTTTCCTTGTTTTGAAAGCACAAAATTTGACTTGCTAGGCTGGCAACAAAAGCATACATTAAAAAATTTTCCGAAAGCAGACTATTTGTTTTTGCATTTTTATCCTGCATGTGAGCAGGCCAACATGCTGCAAATGCTCCTTATCCATTCTGGACATCTGTTATGGACTTAAAAATTCCTAAGTACAACTGAGGCTCTTACTGTCATCCAGGTTTGCATTTTTCCAAAAGGTTCCAAGTTTATTTCTGTATTTAATATGTAAAATCCCAGACAGTTCCCAGATTTCCACGTGGCTATGTAAAATAAATGCAGTAGCTGACAAGGACTGTGACCTTTGTCAGCATGTGCTTGCCAGTCACTTTGCAGTGACAGGAAGTTGCTCTGACTCTAGTACTAGAGAACCTTTTCTGTCTGAAAATAAACAGTAAACCCAAATACTACATGTTGCAGAATACTGTTTTAGATTACTTTATTTATACATGGCCAAAAAGAAAAAAAAAATCTTGTTCTTTCTTTTCTAGTATCTGAAGCTGAATGAATTTTCAAAGCATAATCCCTTTTTTTGCGTTTGCTCTGTTGAATCTTCTTCTGGAAACATGGCAAGTTACCCTTGCCAGAGTCCTCTGGACAAATTAGTGTCTTTTGGCTGTGTAGACTAGTGGAGCAGTGTCCTGTCACCCATTTGGTTTTTCTTGTGGTTGTTGCTTAGATTTACAGCAGATAAGTTGAGAGTCCACTGCAATGTTCTTCCTTGATGGTTATGCTGGCTAAACTGTCCTCTGTAAAACAAAGCTTTGTAATATTAGTACTGAGAGATTCAGTGAATCCACTGGGCTCTTTTTTACTGTACATCCTAAAATGTGCTTACCAGCTGCAATGTAGTCCTGCTCACACTTAAGCTGTTTAAACTTGTGACATTACATGGTGGTTTTGGGGTTGCCTTTAGTAGAACTACAGGGAAGTTGTGCCTGAACAGAAGTAGTTTTGCTTTGTGTAAAAGTGACTTGATTTTCCCAGTGTAAATTCTGGTATCAGGTATCATATCTGATGATAGTCCGCATGCAGACTCCCTTTTGCTTCTCTGTTTTTTGCCTCAGTCCTAAAGTGCTTCATAAAGGTCACATTAAGACAAAAGTTTGCAGGAAGCACTGTTGTTATTAGTGTTCTTATGAACAGGTGACTTCAAGACTCCAGCATGGCACCCTTCAATAACATTAAATTTACTTAAACTCTCAAATCATAAACCCATTAATAACTTCCATAAATTAATTTGCTGTTGCAGGAAGGGTGCAATACTGTGCATGCTTTTAATATTACCAGTTTAAACTGTCTCGGCTGCAGCTTTTTGTTCACTGCAGAAAGCAGTATATTAATATTCTGATTAGGTACAGATTAGTTTTTTGATGGAATAATTTGAGTAAGTAAAATATGTCAGGCACTGCAGCAAGATTACAGAGGTTCAAAGCACAGCACTTTGCATTTTTAATTATGTAATTCTAACTGGCATCTGTGCTGTTGAAACAGCATGATGCATTTATGTCAACATTTGTGTTGGGGAATTTAGAAGAGGCATTTCCACAAGAGGTGTTTTGGTTTTTTGAGTTTTGTTTAATGGAACTGCACTTTTTGAGCTACACAGTGTTTCTGGCTTGCTGCATAGTAAACCATCTGTCTGATGAAGGGGTGATACCGTGAGCATAAAAATGCTGGGAAAATGGTTTGATTTTGTGTTATTTTAGAACTGTGATTGAAGTATCACATTTGTCTTAATATTAAATTTCATGAGCTAAAACTTGCCACAAACAAACATTTTATCTTTGCCTGAACAGGATGATGGTGCTTTGTTTTCTGAGCGGAACACTGCAGCTAGCAAGACATTCATCCAGTCCACTGGGGAGACAACTCTGCTCAAACAGTGCAAAGAAGCCTGTGCTGACTTTATTCACCAAGGTAAAAGTTGTTCACAGAATAAAGCCAGGCAAGACTGTGTGTTTATCAGCTTTGACATACCTGAATCCAGGTTAAATGGCTCATCCTTGCTTTTTGTCCCCTTCAAATTTATGTAGCATTGAGCATTTTGCTTTGCTGGTTTCTGTATGCCAGGCTGTTCAATTTCAGCACTACCTGTGAGACTGTAAAATATATCCAAGTAGTGCTGGTAGCACATGAAGAAAGAGTAGATTTTGCTTTATCCTCTTTTTGGTTTTTTGGCAGTGTTAACACCAAGAGATACAATGCAGGCAAAGGTTTGTCTGTGTCATGAGCAGGCACGATTTGTAAGAATATTTAGAAAACAGATGTGATGAGCAGGAATGGTCATTTGTGAACTGTCACCTTCCATGAATTGTTATCAGTTGTTATCCGCAGAGTTCTGCACTTTATTGTAAAGGATGGCACACAGCAGGTTATGCTGCATTGACATGATTCTCCTTCAAGAGTAGGATAACTAGAAATGCAAAGCATGGAGAATGTTCACATCAGTATGGGTGTTTTGAATGTTTGTTCATTCCATCACTAGCCATACAGGAGTGTTTAAACTGTGTAAAAAATTAATAGGTTGAAAAATAGAAGGTCACCATCTAGTTCTTAATCAGAGCAATGCATGCTATAAAACTATACTTTAAACACCTTTGTCTCCTCCTGCCTGATTCAGCATCAACTCACTGATAATCCAAATGAGATAAGGTAGGGAATAATGATTTTATGTGGGTTAATATTTGGGAAAAAAGCTCTTTGTGTCTTGAAATTTCTAACTGGTAAGACACTGTGTGAAATCAAATTTTCTAATAGCAGATTTTGAGCAGTTCTCTAAAGTGGCTTTTTGTTGAAAGTGTTTTTAAATGTTTTTCATCCCTGATACCACTGGCAATTGCAAAGGAAAATGCAAACTACTTTAAAAAAGAAAGCTCATTTGCACTGTTAGTTTATGCTAATTACCTAGTTTTTTCACTCCTTCCTGTTTTTAAGAATAAAGAGAAAAGAGAAGGCAGAAGGGACCTATGTCTTCTGCAGCCTGTTCAAACTGATAAAAGTTAGCACTACCAAATAGTCTTCCCCTTGCAGTCTCCTTTTTTGACAACAGAAGGATTCATGCAGCAACTGCTTCAACAAAACCTTTTTTTTGTTTTTTTTTGCAAGGTTGCTATTAGTTCAGATCAAGTCTCCTGTTTTGCTTTATTGTGCAGCTGTTTTAGTGCTTAAGCCAGCACAAAAGCAGCAGTGACAGCTTAAAATGGCCACAAAACTGCAATCCAACTATGCAGCATAAATGGCAATTATGTGCAGAAATAAAACTGTCCCTTCCGCTTTGTGTGTTATCTAACAGATCTAGTTGTCAGCCCAGCATATGTTACTTTGGGAAGGGATTTTTACTACCTGAGCAATAAAAGTCCATTTCGACACTGTAATATGGAGAAGGTTGTCCAAAAGAGCTTTATCCAGGAAGCCCAATTACAAATAAACATAAAGCAAGTGATGTCAGAGACTGTTGTGTTCTTCTACTGAAAATATGCACTAATATAAATCGACTTTTTAAACAGATTTTGCTGTTTGTTAAAATAGTTCACTGTTGATTTTAAACTGGTTCCAATCTTACCAGTACCATGTAGTGCCTAAGCTTGCCATGAGAGTAAGAGCATATTCTTTCCTAGAAGTTCCTGAAAGGAGCCTGGCATGTTACAGAACTGATGTGCAGGATTCTGGGATGTTCCTTCCAGTCACTAATATCAGATATACCAATCCCTGCAAAACCAATGAGAACTATTAAGAACACAGCACTGCTGATCTTTAGTATCCTGCATAGGTTTTCAGAGCACAAGGACTTGACTGTGTGGGAAAGACAGTTAAGATTAGTTGTGAATAAAAATAGACTATTTAATCCAAAGTAATTCACATGCAGGAAATTAGAAGTAGGTGTTTCAGATCATGTTTAAAGAAGCTCTAGTTCAGGTGGTTGATACTGGGGAGGGAACCTGTATTTGGAATGATCACTCCTCTCTGTGTATGTTACTTTACTGTACAAGTGACCTGTGTGTTTTACTATATGCTTTAAGCTGCTCTGAATATTTTCCTTTAGAAACCATGCCCTCTATGTGATGAAGCAAAAGAAGTTCTTGAGCCATATAAGAGAAGGGTAATGTATTGCAATGCTGTATAAGTTTTCTATATATAGAAAGAACAGTTAATTGGGATTCTTTCTTTGTAAAAGAAAATTGCTTGGATTTATTTGCACCTGTTATTCTTTCATGGATGACCTCTTCAAGACAATTTCAGCACTGATTTCCATAAAACTCATTATCCAAAAGCATTTTGAGACAACAATGCTGAAATAAGTATTGGCAAACTAAACAAATATACACCTTTTTGCAATAGTTCTTGAAACCACTGCTTTTGTAAATACTGTTGCCTTGCCTGAAAGAGGAATTTACAACTTTCATGAGGCCGGTAATGATATAATTTGGGAAGGATGTTAATAAGTGGGGCTTTGAGTATTTGAGTTATATGTGATTGTAATTTTTGCCATTCTTCAAGCAGGTTTTGATGTCTCTCTTGAAGGATGAAACTGTTAATGGAAACATTAAGATTTATTTCACTCTGCTGTGTTGCTGGCTGCATATTTGTTGTGGTTGGTGTTCACAGGAAAGTGGTTCTACACAGAGGAACAAGAATATAATCCTGAGCTAGGGAGAGAGTCCTTTGTGTTTATATACATTTTGTACTCATAAAATGAGGAATTACCTACAACAGAAAGAGAAAATCCTAAAGCATTAAGAAAACAGCCTTGCATTTCTCAGAAAACTATTGATCAAAAGATAAATAGGCATTATTTTTCAGTGTCCAGTAGGAATTGACATATTTCTTTTCTATCACAGTTTATTTTGCAGGAGGTAGATATTACACTTCCAGAAAACTCGGCATGGAATGATAAATACAAATATGACATACCTGTTTTTCATTTAAATGGGAAGTTCCTAATGAAGCATCGAGTGGACATTAAAAAGTTTGAGGACCAACTTAAGAAACTGGAGTTGCAAAAATGATGAAAACCAGTGAAGAAAATGCTGCTGCTTTGGTATGGATCTGAAAGGCCTGTGCAAAATGTTCTGTGCACTGTGTGGAAAACCAGTATGCATTATCTGGCCTTGTGTTTTCTGGAACATACAGTGTCAGTGTGCAGAAAACTTGAGTGACTTGTGTTCTGTTTTGTATTAATCACCCAGTCCAGCTGCACTGGTAGCTCATTTGCTGCTCTCCTGGGCAGGCTTTGCACTGACAGAATAAATGCTGCTCCATAACAACAGATAAAGTGAACTGTGTTCGTATTGGGTTTCTGCGGCCAGGTTTTGGTATCTGGGGAGGCTGCAGGGGTGGTTTCTGTCAGAAGCTGACAAGCTTCCCTCATATCCAACAGAGCTAATGCCAGCCAGCTCCAGGACAGACCTGCTGCTGGCCAAGACTGAGCCCATCAGAAATGGTAGTGACACCTCTGGGATAACATATTTAAGAAGGGAAAAAAACCTGCACAACGACAGTGCAGCCAAAGAGAGGGGTGAGAACATGTGAGAGGAACAACTCTGCAGACCACGTGGTCAGCAGAAGGAGGGGCAGGAGGTGCTCCAGGCACTGGAGCTGAGGTTCCCCTACAGCCTGTGGTGCAGCCCCTGGTGAGGCAGCTGTGCCCCTGCAGCCCATGGAAGCTGTCACATCCACCTGCAGCCCGTTGGAGAACCCCACACCAGAGCAGGTGGATGCACCTGAAGAAGTCTGTGACCTTGTGAGAAGCCTGTGCTGGAGCAGGTTTCCTGGCAGGACCTGTGACCCTGTGGGGGACCCATGCTGGAGCAGCCTGTTCCTCAAGGACTGCACTCTGTGGAAAGGGACCAATGTTGGAACAGTTTGTGAAGAGCTGCAGCCTGTGGGAAGGACTCACTCTGAAGAAGTCTGTGGAGGAGTGTCTCTCATGGGTGGGACCCCACACTGGAGCAGGGGAAGAATTTGAGGAGGAAAGAGCAACAGAGACAATGTGTGACAAAATGGCCACAACCCCCATTTTCTATCTCCCTGCACTGCTGAGAGAAAACTGGGAGTAAAGTTAAGCCTGGGAACAAGGGAGGGGTGGGAGGAAGGTGGTTTTCAGATTTTTTTTTCTCGTTACCCTACTCTGATTTGATTGATAATAAACTAATTTCCCTAAGTCAAGTCTGTTTTGCCTGTGACAGGAACTGGTGAGTGATCTCTCTATGTCCTCATCTCAACCCACAAGCCTTTAGTTGTATGTTCTCTCCCCTGTCCAGCTGGTGAGGGAACTCAAAGAGTGGCTTTGGTGGGCTTGTAGCATCCAGCCAGGATCAGACCACCAGTGTTTCAGGGTGGTTAGCACATGTAAGCTGTAGGTCTCTAAGAGGCTTCCTTGAAGAAGTCTGGGAGTCTATCCTGAGTTCTCATTTGAAACGGAGAAGAGGGAATTTAAGTTAAAAGGACACTTGATTAAACACCACACACTGACTGAAGCAGAGTCATATCTATAGAAAAAGCTGTTTGATAAAGCTGTTACTAACACTTTAACACTGAATAATTTATTTTTCTTCTAGTGAGGTGAATATATGTTGCACTTTATTTTATTTACTGCAGGAAGTTTTGTCAGAAAAGAACCACATTTCAGTTCTGTCTGCAACACAACTACAAATCCATCTATCTCGTGGCAAGTGCCATTTTATCAAGGATTACTGTAGTTACTTCATTGGCATTGTTGGCAATGCAGGGATGTGAAGTAGACAGAATGCCTAAGTTAAATATATTTTCAGGAGGAGGAGAACGACAGATTGAGGAAAAGTCAATTAAGTTAAATAGTCTGTAATAAGCACTGGAGAAAGTTGCTGGTATTTTTGATCTGCTTAATAGAGTCTCTGACATGGAAACTAATCCCTACATGCTGCACTTCTGTTCTTCCGATTGTGGTGATATTCAGTCTTCTCTCATCATTGGTAATTTAAAAATTCTTCACAGATGGAAGAATCCAGACACAATGCCCAGCTGGCACAGTAGAATTCATTATGGACTCTTTAAGTTTTGGAGAATGGTTTACTAAGAAGCCACCTATGGTGAAAATGGGCTGTTCCTTTAAGGCCCCATCCTACAGTGTCTTTAGCATTTGACAGATAATTTACAATCTGATGCTGATGTATTCCACAAGATGAAAAATTTCTGGGCAGTGGGGAGTAAGAAATTAAAACTTTTTTCCAGTTTTATCAGCTTGAGTCCACTCAAGGCCTGAAACTATCCAAGATTTCCCAGGAGAGAGACCTGTGCCATTTTTATAGCACAGAACTTCAGGTAAGTTCAGCCAAATCATCCATCCATGGTGCTTTTCATCACCATTAGCGGGGCTCTAGAGAAAACAATATCTATACTTTCTGCAGTTCTTAATGCTACAGCCAAACTTCTAACACAAGTTACTGTTAAATAATAGGTCCAAATGACCTCTGTAAGCAAGCACCACTTGCTTTTCTTCTGTAATGTGAGATGGTTTCAGAAGGCCTAGGTTTTTCCTTACTGAGGTTTTGTAGTAAGAGAACTACATAGAGCACTTGTCAACCATAGGATCAAGTGCTCTTCAAAAACACAGCAGCTTTACCTCAAAGATATGGAGGACAGAGGTCATGTGGACTTGCCTTTGTTTTACTTTTAATAAGGTCTGATTTGGTAAGAAAAAAAATAGAAGGTAAAAGCAAACTTCTTAATCATTTTATAAGATGATGAATCCCTTGTTCCTTATTCTCTTAGACTGTGGAGATCTTCTGTAGCCAGTGCCAGATATTCTTCCCCCTGTATTTTGTAATATGATTGCCATAATAGCTTTTGTCTATGGTGTGGCCTTTAACAGTGAAATGAAGGTTTTCCATTAGTTGTGGCTGTGGGTGCTAATAGCATATAACATACAGAGAAGGGGTGGCTGCTTCTTCCAACCCTTCTGGTGTGCAGTCAAAAAAACCCTGCATTGTACATTCCTCAGTCTTATTTTCCTTGTCAACAAAAGTAGCAAAAGTAAACCCATGTGTAAGGAACAGGCCTGGACTCTAGGGTGAAGGTGGTAAAATGCCCTCTTCTCATCAGTTTGGACACAGGGATAGGAGGTGAAAACACATCAATAAGGAGCATTGATGGCACAGTTCAAAGAAGGAGCCATGCTATAAATTGTTTACAGGAGAACTGTTGAAGGACTAGGTGAGGAGAAAAGGTGTGACAGTCCATTTTGTACCGTAGGTGCCACTGCAGGTTTCTCATTGCAAAATTAAGTTGTGTTCAGGTTGGTGGAGATATTATTCCCTTCTCTTTTATTTTCTCAGACAGTACAAAACACTGAAGTAAAAACTCCAGGAGGCCACCCTCTCTTCCAAAGCCATCAGCCCTGCCAGTGGAATAAGGCATTCAATTACTACCTTCACATAAGAACACTAAGAGTTCACATCTTCTAAGCAGCAGATCACACAGAGAAGCCTTTCAGCATCATCTTCTGTTTCCCTGCCATTATCAATCCTAAAAGTAGGAATGTGAATTTGTGACCCTATACCCAAAATAATTTAGTAACCTCAGTGGGTCTAGAACTTATCATCAAAGAGTTAATTACTTTCCATTTCTTTTGACACGTGGGAAGACTGTGTGACTTAGTGGTCTGCCACCTTCATTTTCCAAAGAACAAGAAAGGATGAATCATATGTAAATTGAGTGGGTTTTTTTCTTCTTTTTGCATATAATAAATGCAGCAGTCTCCCAGCACGTGCATCTCTCTAATAAATGTGTTAAAGTATAACACATATATTAAAATGAGAAGGCATATGTCCCTGCTGAATATATACTTACAGAGCACTATGCAACTTTGTGAAAACTGGCAATTTACCCTTTTGACGGTGAGTATTAGCAGGAGTGCAAAAGTCCATAATGCACTATCCCTGTAATGTAAAAACAGCTTGAATGCAAGATGAATTTATTTCCTATTTCTGGCCAATTAAAAGGCACATACACAATGTCCTGTCTTCTACCAGTAACTATTAACAGCAAATACCCACCAGGCTTAGTTGCTTATATGTTCTACTTCTCTGACTCATTATTTGTGTCTTTAAATCGTATACAGTATACAGAAGAGATCATCTCATTTTTTCAAGCATAGAACTCCTAGCACAGTGTCTTCCTGTCCAAACTGGCCTGTGATACATAATCTCAGATGCAGCTTTAATCATATGGCCATCTGGATTAGCTACACGTGGAAGTAAACAAAGCCCCATGTGCAAGTGTTTACAAGACCATATCTCAGTTTTTCTTCTCTTCATTACTTTCCAGACAGCTTTGCCTTGTACTCTACCAATAACATATCTTTTTTTTTTTCTATTGTGTCCTGCTGGCAAGAAGTTCCATCCCATTCTTGTGAAGCTGTTTTACCTTGTATACCCAAACCTGAGTCCTTGCAAGGCAAGACTGGAGCAGTGAGATACACCTGAATAAAAAAGTTTCCAGTTAGGGAACTCCAACTGAATACTGATTTGTGCTGCTTCAGCAAAAAACAAAACAAAACTGTAGTAAGAACAACGAAACCACCCTCTGTCCTCTATCCTCACCTCTTGCAGCATTTCAGATGAAACTCTAGTTCTTGGTCTTCATCTTCCAGTGATAACTGACACATGACCAGGATATCTAAAGGGTAAAACGAGTTCCTCCAGAGGACAAATACTCTCAGGAGTCTGTCTTGTCCATGGAATGAACTGCAGGGACTGAGGGCACTCCAGACCTTCCTCATTTTTCCTCAGTGCTGCCTTCTGGAGTGTATATGGTTGGTTGCAACTCTATGCACAGAATATAAACTAAATCCCTCCCAGTCATACACAAATCTAACTGCAATGAGACACAACTAAATCTACTCAGTTTTCCTGAGACAAAAGGACAACTTTTGATATAGATTACTGGGTTTGTTCTTGTAAGTTTGGGTTTTGGTGGGTTTTTTTGCTTTGGGGGAGTGATTTTTTCTTTCCTTTATTTTTCTTTTTTTGGGGGGGAGTGCTTTGAGTTTGTTTGTTTGTTTGTTTGTTTGTTTGTTTGTTTTTGGTTTGAGTTTTGGGGTTTGGATTTTTTTGCCAGTTATGACATTCCCTGAACGTTCCCTGAAGATCTGCTTCCAGGAAGGTGACAGAAGTCTCTCCATCCATTTCCCCAGTGCAGAAAATCATCCTGAATCAAGCCCCCAAGCATTTTGGCCAGGTGGCAGCTCCCAAGCAAACAGCAGAGGGGTAGCTCTGTGTTGACTGTGACATTTAA